TTGATAAAGGTTTTTTGGACATTTTCAAAAATTGACTATTAAGTGGGAGGGTCTGCCCTTACTATGATAACATTATCAATCATAGGGGCCAATTTATAAATCAATGGTATGGCCCAGAGGTGTAGCAAAAACCTTCAGGGCTCCAGTGCAATAACCATAAAGGGCCCCCTTACACATCCATGCGGGCAGCCCATTTTTAGAGTCTGTGCGCCATGGGTGGCCACACCAAGGGGGCGGGAGGGTTCCTGAGTTTCCCTATACATTTCCCAGAATTAGAAACATGGAGCAGACACTTTTGGGAAGCTTTGAAGCGTGATTCCCTGAGGCAGAGGTATATACCATCTATCCCCCTTTTTCATACAATATTGGCTCCCATGCGTGTAATGGGTGCAAGTGTTTTTGTAATGCCCTCATGCAGTATTTTTATATTGCTTTTGATGGCAGTTCTATTATATATATACTTTTTACACGTAGGTGCTATCACTGATGTGACAAAACTTTGTTTCAGGGGCGGACTGACAACTCATGGGGCCTCCGGGCAATAGGGGATCATGGGGCCCCTGTGTCCTTGCCCACACCCAAAAAAGCCTATGAAAAAAGCCAAGGAAAGGTACCAGGGGCATCTCAGTGCGAAATGTGATGGGAACTGACACCCCCTCTTACAGATCAACTTACTGTCTGATTTTCTGTAAAGTACTATAATGTATCATGAGGCTACTAAAGAGGGGAAGTGCATTTTGGGGGTTTTGGTACGAATGACAAACATCAGGTTCTGTTTTTCTTAGTTTGTCTTGACCTTACTGTTTTCTGTTTTTTAGAGGAATGTGTTACCCCATCAATTTTAATCAATTGTACAATAAAAGTTGATGATTTTATTTTAACCTTTTCACGCTGGCCGAACGCAAATGTGTGGCCTTCCGGCGTGTGGGCCTAGACGCCAAGCGGACGCACATTACGTTATATTTAAAAAAGACATATGTGCTGAGAGCGCGTACTCCCAGCACAAATGTCCGGTTCTCATGGAAAGGTCCCGATCTCCTCTTTCGATCGGGACCTTTCCCGATCATGTGACCGTCGTGACACAACACAAACGACCGCAGCCATATTGGTACACCCAGTACACCCATATCAACACATGCGATTGATGCCTTGTTTGATCTGTTCCAATGTGAGTGTGCATTTGTCTCTACAATAAATTTTATTCATTTACAATATTACACTATGGAAGCACTTTTTCTTGTCTCACTGGGAGTGCTGTGAGCTGGCAGTTTTTTCTGGTCCAACGAACCCCTGGCAGGAGTTCTGTGCATTGGCGGATTTCCGTGTCAAAAAGGTGAAAGATATATTACCACTGCTGAACAGTATGGTCCACCATTGAGGGAGATATCATCCCTACATCGCCGTTTGGGATTCCACTTAAAGGGCCCCTGCAGTGAGTGTCCTGAAAGCCTTTTGGCCCCTTGGGGTCTGGGCGCGGAGGTGAGGAGGCAATTTAGCTGGTGTGGGATTTAACAATCATTTACTTATCCACGTTGTGTTTTTTGTTTTTTTTTATGCGTTTTTGTTGGACGTTTTTGCACATGGACTTTATCTCGTATTTACGATTTTTTTAGTCACATGTTATTTATTTCTTAATTGTGTTATTGTATTTTATGGTGCACAGTAATACATTCATTTGGTTTCACTGTACGTTTGTATCACTATTTTCTGTTTTATACTAGTTGTACTCTATATAAGTTTGCCACATTTATTTATAGTATTTATATGGTCACTTATTAGTTGTTTTTATGTCACATGGCCTTTTAATGCACATTGTGTTATGACTCTTCAGTCGCATGGTCACAACTTTTGGTCTCACTGTGCGTTGTTATTGTCATTCTTCTGTGATAAGTGGTTTGTCCACTTTTAATATTAAGCACTTCATTTTGTATTTTTCACATTTTGCTCCACTCTCTCATCAGTTGTATTCACGTTATTTCAGTTATGGTGTGACGGACTCATATGTCTCACTATTAATGTGATTTAGTTAATATTTTATTTCTCCCTGATCATTTTCGTGCGTTTTGCCCACGGTCACAATTCATTGTCACTACACTTTTCGGTCCTCATTTTGGACCTTTATGATTTCACCTTTCCCTTCACTCCCATATTCCTTCCATTTACTGATTATGTTATGGTGTATTAGCTATTTTCTTCTCATCTCATTTGTTTTGGAATGTCTGTGGCATTATTGTGATTAGCGCAACATCAATTTTCGGCTTGTTGTCTTTTGCTAGTGGTAACACTTTAATATATTCTTTGTATTAAGGTTTACAAATGCTTCACAACCTACTCTAGCTCCCCCTGCACCTAAACACTGACCTGGTCTCTCTCACCTATCCAGCACTGTCCCATCTGCAGCACTGCTACTCCGCTTCTTCATCTCACAGGAGATACAGGCAGCAGTGGGAGCCATACTCCAAGGAGAGAGCAGAGGCACGGCTTACCAGTGCTATGTGTTTCTATGGATGCAAACAGCCTGGCTCAGGATCATACCAACAAGGGTGCCCCCCTTAGAAAACATTTAGCTGCTGGAGCACCTGGAGGAAGGAGGAGTGGGGAGCACCGTCTGGGGACTCCAGAAGAAGAGGTAAGAGACCATTCTATGGAATATCATTGCTCAAAGCAAGTAAGTATAACATATTTATTATTTTAAAGCAAACAAATAGGATTTAGTATCACTTCAATTGAAGCCACTAACAACATAGCTGGATCACTTTGATGTATAAATTGATGATTTGTGACCATCATGAGGAGGGGTCCCTTGTGTGATCTTCCTGCTCCTCTCTTGGAGAAGAAAGAAATATTTAATCCTTCCATTTTTGGAAGCCCTTCACAACCCCCTTTGGATAATCACACAAGCATTCACTAATACTGATATTATTTATTTACAGATAAGCAATATTGAAGATTAGTCCTTCCATGATTCTCGGCAGTTTCCCTGTCTGGGAGGTCTGGCCTATTGAATGTTGAAACAGATTTTGATTGCCATGTTTGATCCATGCAATTCTATTCTGGTGAGTTGTTCTACTGGTTGATCCATTTTAAAAATAAATTTAATATGGAAATCATAATGATGCATTCGTATCACTGATATTCATCCCCAATTTTGCATCTTCCTATCGGTAACCCTTAAAATGAAACTGTGATTATGGTGATTAAGATGATCAACAATATTTGATGGGTAGATATGGAGATTGCATAGATGATACTGCACTATATGAATAGTAAATATATGTTTGATAAAAAATATATATATTTTATGAATAGCATATGTCTGTGAATAATTTCAACAAGACAAAATAAAAATTATACATTTTAACATGACCTATGAGATTCTGCATACTTGAAATATCCCTTCTTTATTTCTCTGTCTTCCTTTTTTTCCTATTATCAGAAAACATGCAAGAATGTGTTGGTGTAAGCAAGGGAATACAAAAGGGAAGTATAGCAAATCTGCGTGACATTTTGTTCATTTTTATAAAGGCACTTTCTAATTTTTTTTATTTTTATAAAGGCATTTTCTATTTTTTTTTTTTTCGTAAAGGCATTTTCTATTCTTTTCATGCTCAGAATCTCATTTTATATTTTTTTTCTTCAAGTGCAGAAAGGTATTTTTTCATTTTATTTCTTTCAAGTTCAGAAAGGTGCTCTTCTCCATCTCCCACTGGTAAGTGTATAAGCTTATGCATCCTATCTCTCCTATATATCTTTTTTTTTTAAGGATCACATCAGTGTTTTCACACTCTTTCTTCCATTGGTAAGTATAGGAAATATGTCTGAAAGTTCAGAACTATTCTGTTTAGCCAAAATATAAACTAATAACTACTGCTTGGTTAAAAAAATTCTTTATAAGTTTTTAAAGGGAATGTATAGCAAAGATAATGGCTATTGAATATTCTCCCCAAAAATTCGCTCATCAGTTTCTGAAAGCATTCATGATTATGAAAATTCATATTTATTGCTGAGGGCAAATGTCATTTGAATATCTGCAGTACAGTAGAGATCATTTGTGTAAGTCTAGTCATATTTTTGTGAGAATCTGGTAGAATCTTTTGAAATAATGGGAGTCCTTTACCTGATCTGCAGCAAATATTGTCTACTGTACTTTAACTGGCATTACATATAGGATGGCATTCCCATAGAATGGGAGTACCAAGTTCACAACGTTGCTGTTATTTGTATACCAGCCTACATGCCCTTCAGCACTGGAGTGTACTTTGGCGAAGGTTTACTGTAAAAAATGGAAGTCCCTCTCCCAAAGTACCTGTGCACAGGACAAGGTTCCAGCAAGGGGGATTGCAGCCCCCTCACTTTGAATGACTGACCATTTCACTGTGTCACTAAGTCACTGTGTCACTAATGTAAAAATAAGACACCACACAAAATATTTTATAAATCGTTTATTTAACTAATTGAAAAGCTAAAATGCAGGAGATGATCCATGGAGCTAGATCCAGCTCTGGCAGTAGGGTCTACCTTCCTTTCTTTTGAAATTAACATGTCAAAATCTAGGTATGGTTTTATGTGCCCAAGGAACTTGGAGATGGAGTTCCCTTTGACCTCATTGTCCATATTTGCATGTTTCTCCTTGCTGCCCATGTGGAGATTCAGTTACAGAGAGACAGTCTGAAAGCATTCTCAGTACTTTAACACAAGTGCCCTTCACTGATTACAGTTTAAATGATCACTTGTAAAGCTTGTACAAAGATATAAAACATCACACTAAAAATATACAACATCTTACATAATATTAACTAAAAGCCATCATAATTGTTTTCTAAGGAATTACTTAGCTAACAAGGTATGAACTTGCCAGAAATGAGGACTAGAGATGAGCGAAGTATTCAAAAATTCGATTCGACTGATTCGGCGAATTCGTGGAAAAATTTCGATTCGAGTCGAATATATTCGCTGTGAATTTAACTTAAAAAAGGGTGTTTCTAGGCTTCAGAGAGACTTAATATTAGTGCAGAACACTGTACCTTTAATTTAAAATGCCCTTGGAGTCTGCTGGGGAAGAGAAATAATACTGTCAGTCAGTATGACATGCAGATGAGTGCCGTCGATCTTAGAATCACCGCACACTTCACTCATTTGGGCAGTCACGGGGCCAAAACCAGAGTGTGGAGCCACAGTGTGGCTGTGGAAAGGCAGCAGCAATGGGAGGCCATACAGCACCCTATGACAAAAATGGAAACCACCAGCAGTGTGAGGAGACCTGAAAGTGGCACATGGCAGAGTGTGGCGATGGAGACAGCAGCAATGGGAGGCCGTACAGGGGACCCATGACACACTCTGGACCTGGCAGCAGCATGAGGAGGCGGTACAGGGGCCCATGACAGATTACGGGCCTGGCAGCAGCATGAGGAGTCGGTACGGGGGCCCATGGCAGATTACGGGCCTGGCAGCAGCAATGGGAGGCCGTACAGGGACCCATGACACACTCTGGACCTGGCAGCAGCATGGGGAGGCGGTACAGGGGCCCATGACAGATTACGGGCCTGGCAGCAGCATGAGGAGTCGGTACGGGGGCCCATGACACACTCTGGACCTGGCAGCAGCATGAGGAGGCGTACAGGGGCGCATGACAGATTGCGAGCCTGGCAGCAGCAACTTGGACAGGAGTTCGTTCAGCTTCTGCACCGTTGGGTGCGTGCTCGCAAACTGTTGTCTCTTGGAAACGGATTCCAAGAAAGACTGCTGACAGAATCCGTGAAGAGGAGTAGCAGGAGAAGGAGCATCTGAACGAGCGGAATATGCCAACAAGCGACAACAGGGGCCCATGACAGATTACGGGCCTGGCAGCAGCATGAGGAGTCGGTACGGGGGCCCATGGCAGATTAGGGGCCTGGCAGCAGCTATGGGAGGCCCGTAATCTGCCAGCACCCTATGACAAAAAATGGAACCCACCAGCAGTGTGAGGAGACCTGAAAGTGGCACATGGCAGAGTGTGGCGATGGAGACAGCAGCAATGGGAGGCCGTACAGGGACCCATGAGAGACTCTGGACCTGGCAGCAGCATGAGGAGGCGGTATAGGGGCCCATGGCAGATTAGGGGCCTGGCAGCAGCTATGGGAGGCCCGTAATCTGCCAGCACCCTATGACAAAAAATGGAACACACCAGCAGTGTGAGGAGACCTGAAAGTGGCACATGGCAGAGTGTGGCGATGGAGACAGCAGCAATGGGAGGCCGTACAGGGACCCATGACAGACTCTGGACTTGGCAGCAGCATGAGGAGGCGGTATAGGGGCCCATGGCAGATTAGGGGCCTGGCAGCAGCAATGGGAGGCCCGTAATCTGCCAGCACCCTATGACAAAAAATGGAACACACCAGCAGTGTGAGGAGACCTGAAAGTGGCACATGTTTGGGGCATGATTCATGGCGGATTTAGTAAGTTGTGTCAGGAACTGGTGGTTTGAAATCCAGACTAATCCACGCCTGATTCATTTTCACAAACGTCAGTCTCTCCACACTTTGGGTGGACAGTCGTGTCCTCCGCGGAGTTGCAATACCTCCTGCCGCACTAAACACGCGCTCCAATGCCACGCTACTGGCCGGGCATGACAGCCTTTCAAGGGCAAATTCAGCTAGTTGGGGCCAAAGGTCAAGTTTCGTTGCCCAGTAGTCAAGGGGATTGTCTACCTCGGTTGGCAGGGTGCTGTCCAAGTAGGCCTAAGCCTGTTGTTTGAGGTCCTGCTCCAGGTCCACCTGATGCTGCTGCTGCTGCGGCTGGTTAGTAGTTTCCTCACTGCGCTGGTGAAGAAAGCTACTCATCATCGACTGCAGACTGAGGCAGCTGCTGCTGGTGGAGCTGCCACTGCTCCTACCACCCCACCCCTCCCCTGCTGCCATAGCAGCGAACGCGAGCGCACAGAGCCCACAGTGTCTGAGGATGGACGTTGGCGCAGACAGGCAGAGACCAGCTGACTACATAGGTGGTTTTTATAGTACATTATTTTGGCCTCCCTCTCAGCAGGTGTGAAAAAGGCCACCATTTTTGAACGGTAGCGAGGGTCCAACAAGGTGGACAGCCAAAAGTCATCCCTCTGTCTGATGGTTATTATTCGGCTGTCGGTACGCAAGCAAGCGAGCATGCTATGGGCCATTTGTGCCAAGGAATGCGAGGGACTCCCTGCCTCCATCTCCACAGCATACTGCCACGGTGCATCTGGGTCCTCTGTCTCCTCTTCCTCCTCCTCTACCAGATGCTCCTGCTCCTTCACTCCTGTCCGCTGAGTGGAAAAACCACCCATTTCACTCAATAATTCCTGAGCACCAATGTCCTCCTCTACCTCCTCCTCTTCTTCCTGTCCTGCCCCCACAGGGGTCATGTGGCGTTGAGATCTGTGCGCCACGTCTACCGCACCCTGACCAGCCATTGTTAACAGCATTTGTTCCAGGACGTGCAACAGAGGAATGACGTCGTTCATCCCATAGTCCTGGCGACTCACGAATAGCGTGGCCCTCCTCAAAGGGCTGAGCAAGCGCAGGTGTCACGCATGAGCTGCCAATGGCTGACATCTAAGTTACACAGGGAGTACCTTTATCCGCTTTTAACATCAGGAAATCTGTGATGGCCTTTTGCTGTTCGTAAAGGCGGTCTAACATATGTAGGGTTGAATTCCACCTTGTTGCAACGTCACAGCATGAGGAGTCGGTACGGGGGGCCCATGGCAGATTACGGGCCTGGCAGCAGCAATGGGAGGCACGTAATCTGCCAGCACCCTATGTCAAAAAATTCAACACACCCAGCAGTGTGTGAGGAGACCTGAAAGTGGAACATGGCAGAGTGTGGCGATGGAGACAGCAGCAATGGGAGGCCGTACAGGGACCCATGAGAGACTCTGGACCTGGCAGCAGCATGAGGAGGCGGTATATAGGGGCCTATGGCAGATTAGGGGCCTGGCAGCAGCTATAGGAGGCCCGTAATCTGCCAGCACCCTATGTCAAAAAAACACCCTTCAACACACCAGCAGTGTGAAGAGACCTGAAAGTGGCACATGGCAGAGTGTGGCGATGGAGACAGCAGCAATGGGAGGCCGTACAGGGACCCATGACAGACTCTGGACTTGGCAGCAGCATGAGGAGGCGGTATATAGGGGCCTATGGCAGATTAGGGGCCTGGCAGCAGCTATAGGAGGCCCGTAATCTGCCAGCACCCTATGTCAAAAAATTCAACACACCAGCAGTGTGAGGAGACCTGAAAGTGGCACATGGCAGAGTGTGGCGATGGAGACAGCAGCAATGGGAGGCCGTACAGGGACCCATGACAGACTCTGGACTTGGCAGCAGCATGAGGAGGCGGTATAGGGGCCCATGGCAGATTAGGGGCCTGGCAGCAGCTATGGGAGGCCCGTAATCTGCCAGCACCCTATGTCAAAAAATTCAACACACCAGCAGTGTGAGGAGACCTGAAAGTGGCACATGGCATGAGACACTGGGAGGACCTGGCAGCAGCATGAGGAGGCGGGTACAGGGGCCCATGGCAGATTAGGGGCCTGGCAGCAGCTATGGAGGCCGTAATCTGCCAGCACCCTATGTCAAAAAATTGAACACACCAGCAGTGTGTGAGGAGACCTGAAAGTGGCACATGGCAGAGTGTGGCGATGGAGACAGCAGCAATGGGAGGCCGTACAGGGACCCATGACAGACTCTGGACCTGGCAGCAGCATGAGGAGGTGGTATATAGGGGCCTATGGCAGATTAGGGCCTGGCAGCAGCTATAGGAGGCCCGTAATCTGCCAGCACCCTATGTCAAAAAATTCAACACACCAGCAGTGTGTGAGGAGACCTGAAAGTGGCACATGGCAGAGTGTGGGCGATGGAGACAGCAGCAATGGGAGGCCGTACAGGGACCCATGACAGACTCTGGACCTGGCAGCAGCATGAGGAGGCGGTATATAGGGGCCTATGGCAGATTAGGGGCCTGGCAGCAGCTATGGGAGGCCCGTAATCTGCCAGCACCCTATGTCAAAAAATTGAACACACACCAGTAGTGTGTGAGGAGACCTGAAAGTGGCACATGGCAGAGTGTGGCGATGGAGACAGCAGCAATGGGAGGCCGTACAGGGACCCATGACAGACTCTGGACTTGGCAGCAGCATGAGGAGGCGGTATATAGGGGCCTATGGCAGATTAGGGGCCTGGCAGCAGCTATGGGAGGCCCGTAATCTGCCAGCACCCTATGACAAAAAATGGAACACACCAGCAGTGTGTGAGGAAACCTGAAAGTGGCACATGTTTGAGGCATGATTCATGGCGGATTTAGTCAGTTGTGTCAGGAACTGGTGGTTTGAAATCCAGACTAATCCACGCCTGATTCATTTTCACAAACGTGAGTCTCTCCACACTTTGGGTGGACAGTCGTGTCCTCCGCGGAGTTACAATACCTCCTGCCGCACTAAACACGCGCTCCGATGCCACGCTACTGGCCGGGCATGACAGCCTTTCAAGGGCAAATTCAGCTAGTTGGGGCCAAAGGTCAAGTTTCGTTGCCCAGTAGTCAAGGGGATTGTCTACCTCGGTTGGCAGGGTGCTGTCCAAGTAGGCCCAAGCCTGTTGTTTGAGGTCCTGCTCCAGGTCCACCTGATGCTGCTGCTGCTGCTGCTGCTGCGGCTGGTTAGTAGTTTCCTCACTGCGCTGGTGAAAGAAAGCTACTCATCATCGACTGCAGACTGAGGCAGCCGCTGCTGGTGGAGCTGCCACTGCTCCTACCACCCCACCCCTCCCCCCTGCTGCCATGGCAGCGGAACGCGAGCGCACAGGGCCCACAGTGTCTGAGGATGGACGTTGGCGCACAAAGGCAGAGACCAACTGACTACATAGGTGGTTTTTATAGTACGTTATTTTGGCCTCCCTCTCAGCAGGTGTGAAAAAGGCCACCATTTTTGAACGGTAGCGAGGGTCCAACAAGGTGGACAGCCAAAAGTCATCCCTCTGTCTGATGGTTATTATTCGGCTGTCGCTACGCAAGCAACCGAGCATGCTATGGGCCATTTGTGCCAAGGAATGCGAGGGACTCCCTGCCTCCATCTCCACAGCATACTGCCACGGTGCGTCTGGGTCCTCTGTCTCCTCCTCCTCCTCCTCTACCAGATGCTCCTGCTCCTCCACTCCTGTCCGCTGAGTGGAAAAACCACCCATTTCACTCAATAATTCCTGAGCACAAATGTCCTCCTCTACCTCCTCCTCTTCTTCCTGTCCTGCCCCCACAGGGGTCATGTGGCGTTGAGATCTGTGCGCCACGTCTACCGCACCCTGACCAGCCATTGTTAACAGCATTTGTTCAGGACGTGCAACAGAGGAATGACGTCGTTCATCCCATAGTCCTGCCGACTCACGAATAGCGTGGCCTCCTCAAAGGGCCTGAGCAAGCGGCAGGTGTCACGCATGAGCTGCCAATGGCTGACATCGAAGTTACACAGGGGAGTACCTTTATCCGCTTGTAACATCAGGAAATCGGTGATGGCCTTTCGCTGCTCGTAAAGGCGGTCTAACATGTGTAGGGTTGAATTCCACCTTGTTGCAACGTCGCAGATCAGGCGATGATGTGGAATTCCGTTCTGCCGCTGCAGCTCAATGAGGGTGTGCTTTGCGGTGTAGGAATGGCTGAAATGCATGCAAAGTTTACGTGACATTTTAAGGATGTCTTGCAGTGGGATGGTGGATTTTAGGAACCGCTTGACAACCAGATTGAACACGTGAGCCATGCATGGCGCATGGCACAACCTTCCTTGACGCAGAGCAGACACCATGTTCTTTCCGTTGTCGGTCAACATGGTTCCGATTTTCAGTTTGCGCGGAGACAGCCATCTGTCGATTTCTCTGTTCATTACACTCAGAAGTTCCTCCCCTGTGTGACTACGTTCGCCAAGGCATACCAGGTGCAGAACAGCGTGACACCGTTGCGCCCTGCACATGTGATATGCCGGTCGGGTAATGGGACTTGGCACGGGGGTGGCGGCTGAGGACACGGCGGAAGAAGAGGTGGTAGAGGCGGACATCTTTTGTGGACCAAGGACGTGCAAACGTGGAGGCAAAAGCGGCGTGACCTGTCCAAGTTGCTGGTGCGGCTGTGACGGCACCACGTTCACCCAGTGGGCCGTAAATGACATGTACTGTCCCTGACCGTAGTTACAGCTCCACACGTCGGCGCTGCCGTGCACTTTGGCAGAGACCGACATGCTCAAAGACTGGCCCACCATCTCTTCTACATGTGAATGCAGGGCTGGCACTGCCTTTTTGGCGAAGAAATGACGGCTTGGCACTCTCCACCGCGGCGCGCGGCACAAGCCATTTTCTCGGAAAGGTGCTGAGTCCACCACTTGGAAAGGGAGGGACTGCAGCACCAGCAACTTGGACAGGAGGACGTTCAGCTTTTGCACCGTCGGGTGCGTGCTCGCAAACTGTTGTCTCTTGGAAACGGATTCCAAGAAAGACTGCTGACGGAATCCGTCCGTGAAGAGGAGTAGCAGGAGAAGGAGCATCTGAACGAGCGGAAGATGCCAACGAGCGACAACTCCCCTCAGCAGAGGTGTTGGAGCCTTGACTGGCTGATAGAGGGGCGATTGACGTCGGGTGACGGAGCAAGTAACGGAGCGGGTGATGGAGCGGGGGCTGGGGCGGGCAGAACCGCCGTATCTTTATCACGGTTTTCCCAGGCCACCAAATGGCGACGCTGCATATGCTGCCGCAACGCTGTAGTCCCCAACATGGGCCCCCTGGCCACGCTTGACTTTCTGGCCACATAGTCGACATACGGCTACGTTTACTTCCTCGGGCGGCTTGACGAAAAATTGCCACACCCCGCCGAGTAGGAAACTTTGCCCCCGATACTCCTCACTGGCTGACTGCTGCTTCCTCCGTGCACACCGGCACCACTACTGGCCGTGGTGGTAGGCTGCAGTGGAGCTGGTGCTCTACTCCGTGGCCGTTTGGCTCCACTGACACTGCTGCGACCCTGCTGCCTCCTGGGCAACCCACCGACTGTTTCGCTCGCTGCCAAGCTGCCACCCTCTTCTCCTGATGATGCGGAAGAAATTGCCTGATGACGACGAGGCTGCCAAGTGCGATCAACCTCCTCATCATCAAGTAGGGTCTCCTCCCTCACTACTAGCCCCCTCGGCTGCGTCTGGGTCAGGAGACAGACCTGTCTCTAGACCGGCTACCGAGCCACTCTCCTCGCCACTACTTCTTCGCCTGGCTGCTGAAAAGGCGGATGTCTCCCCCCGTTCCTGACCGCCCTCTGTTAGCTCTTCCTCACTGTACAGTGGGGCTGAGCCCACAGCATGCGATACTTCGCTTGGTGAGGGAACACCAAAGGACAGGGGCAGGTAGAGGACACGTGATTTCAGTGGGCTTGGTCCCGGGCCATGCCAACTAACGGTTGTGTCTGACGTACCCACCGACCGTTGGCTGTAGGTGTCAGAGGTGACCTGGGAAGAGGAAGACGACCGAGCCAACCAATCGATGACGGCAGGGTTGTCGGTGGAGACACGACCGCTGGATGACACCGGGAGCACTGGCCTCTGGCTGCGAATAGTGCTGCCTCGACCCCTTCCTCTGCTGCCACGTCTGCTCGCTCCTAAAACATTGCCTCCTCTGCCACTCCTCTGCATGTTGTCTGACATACTCTTTAATTCAACGATTCTGTGTCCCTGAGTAACAATTCTGTGTCCCTGAGTAACAATTCTGTGTCTGTCCCTGAGTAACAATTCTGTGTGGCCCTAAGTAACGGTTCTGTGGCCCTCAGTAACAATTCTGTGTCCCTCAGTAACAATTCTGTGTCTGTCCCTGAGTAACAATTATGTGGCCCTAAGTAACGGTTCTGTGGCCCTCAGTAACAATTCTGTGTCCCTGATTAACGTTTTCTGTGGCCCTAAGTAACGGTTCTGTGGCCCTCAGTAACAATTCTGTGTCCCTGAGTAACAATTCTGTGTCTGTCCGAGTAACAATTCTGTGGCCCTAAGTAACAGTTCTGTGGCCCTCAGTAACAATTCTGTGTCCCTGAGTAACAATTCTGTGGCCCTAAGTAACAGTTCTGTGGCCCTCAGTAACAATTCTGTGTCCCTGAGTAACAATTCTGTGGCCCTAAGTAACGGTTCTGTGGCCCTCAGTAACAATTCTGTGTCCCTGAGTAACAATTCTGTGTCTGTCCTGAGTAACAATTCTCTGTGGCCCTAAGTAACAGTTCTGTGGCCCTCAGTAACAATTCTGTGTCCCTGAGTAACAATTCTGTGGCCCTAAGTAACAGTTTCTGTGGCCCTCAGTAACAATTCTGTGTCCCTGAGTAACAATTCTGTGGCCCTAAGTAACGGTTCTGTGGCCCTCAGTAACAATTCTGTGTCCCTCAGTAACAATTCTGTGTCTGTCCCTGAGTAACAATTCTGTGGCCCTAAGTAACAGTTCTGTGGCCCTCAGTAACAATTCT